CAAAATACTATTAAAAAACTTAAGACAGAATAGCTTGGTTAAAAGGGGGCTACAACCAGGGATGCCCCATCCCTGGCAGTGTTCAAGGCCAGGCTGGCCAGGGCTTAGAGCAACCGGGGCTAGTGGAAGGTGTCCCTGCCCATGGCAGGGGGTTGGAGCTGGATGAGCTTTAAGGTCCCTACCAATACAAACCAGCCTGTGATTATACAGCCACCATCCGCTCCAGCTGCAGATTAACTGTTGGAGGCTGCCCGGGTCACCTGCAGTTCTCCTGCTCTACAGAGCTTAGAGCTGGAAAGCTGATACTCAAAGACACCCCCTCACCTCAGTGCTGGCAAGGACTTTTGGATTTAGTTTCTCATTTAGTGATTTACCTGTACGAGGGAAGATAAGCGCTACACTTGGAGGGAAGGATTCGATTTCAGTGGTATCTGTTCAGTTCTCACTTGACCACCTTGGTCCTGGAACAGCTGCTTTTAACACACAGGAAGACAGTCACTCCGTGTTCTCTCCCTCTTCTCAATCTAATAACAACAACAAAAATCAGATTATTCATTCCAAAGTAAACAACAATCCCCATTCTTTAAATAAATAAAATTATTTTCTCTTCAGCAAACTGCTCCCAGCATGGATGTAGCTTAAGAGGAACCCAGCCTACTCCCCAGCCCTACAGAGGGACCAAACAGCTCAAAGATAAACAAACCCCACTGAGATAACATCATTTCCACTGCATCATTCCATCACTCTGTCACTGTTCTTACTGTGCTGTTCTCCAAGTCCCAGCCACATCTCTGAGCAGCCCCAAGGTAACGCTCCCCAAGTCTGCTCTGTACCTGGGGCTCTCCTGCAGGTGGGGGGACACTGTCCTGCTCCTGCCCTGCTGTAGCTGAGATGAAAGAGCAACCCAAGACCAGAAGGGATTAAACTTCTACATAAGCCCTTTGCTAAGTGGCTTAGAGATTTGCAAGTCAGTGATTTATTACAAAGGCTTCTGAATAATCATACAAATAAATCAGGAAGAGCTGCCCCGCTCCAGCTCTGCCTCCCTGCCCAGCCAGTGCATCCTGCTCGGTCACTGCACCAGGCCCATTTGCTGCTCCACACCAAGAGGCCTTTAAACTTTTCCAACGCTCAATCCAATGCATTTGAATTCCAACTTCAGCCTTCCCGAGAAAAGTGTAAGAGGAATGACAGCAGCAGCAGAATGAACCTTCACAGCGCTTCAGTGGCCACACTTGGGCCGGTACACAAAGTCCTCAAAGACTTATCCCTCGTGTTTTCCTTGGCACCACTTCCCAGGCAGCACAAGCTCAGCATTCAGACCAGCTCCTCCATTTCTGTTTTCTATTGCCCACTTGACAATTCCAGGCACCTGCAATTCCTCATACCCTGCCAGGTTCCTGAAACACACCAGCTAATGGGCCCTCAATGCCACACATGAGAGAAGGCTGCTGCAGGCCAGCAACCGAGCCAGCCTGTTCCCTCTGCACGGGGCTGCAGGGAGGAGCTGGCTGCTGCCACGCCAGGTTTCACAAGCCCGGCACAGTGTTTAATCCCACCTCGGCTGTGCTGTGCCCCAGCCTAGAGACCTCCTCAGCAGAAAGCACCACTGGAAGTAAACTGCTCAAGAGCAAGGCACGCCGGTCTGAAGCGTGCATTTGTTCTAAAGGTTCATAACTAGTGGCACACAACAGGAAAACTGAACAAACATACTTAGGGTTATCAGAAATCTGTTCTCTACAGCGCAAATAACCAAAGCCAGAAACACTACAAAGGATTTTAAGTAGCAAATCGGCTGCACAAGGATGAAGACCAAAGGAGCACCTTCCAAATACTAATCCAGTTGTTAAGAGGATGTCGGCCACCCTGTGCTCCCACAAATAGTTTGATTCAAGCATGAGACATCAGCTGCAGCTGCTGCAAATGTTCCTGTATGTGTTGTGCCATTATCTACCCCCTTCCCACGGCATGAAGTGCTGGTGGAGGTGCAAGCTGGATGGGAGCCACTTCCCGCACATACCCTTCCCATGGCACCATGTCGAACAAGAGATAGTAAGACAGGTACCTAAAAGCAAGGGAGGGACCAAAGCCAGCGTGAAGAAGAGCTGAACTCCTGCCTGAGCTGTGCGTTCCCTCGAGTGCTGTGCTCAGGGCTGCAGAACTGCCAGTGGGAAAACCCAGCAGTGTGCAAGGAGCCACAGCACTGTCCCAAGACCAGAGGAGTCTTTGGGCAGTTCCTCTCTCCAGCCCCACCCCACACACCCTCAAAGCCTTTGCTTCCACCAAGCACTTGAGGCAGGAAAGGGCTGAGGTCCCACGGGGCAGCCGCCGCCACAGCCTGGCCCCGCACCACCTACTAGCTTTTCTGGAACAGGAGGGAGGCTGAGCAAGACACCAGCTCCCCCCACGCCACCTCCCGCTCTCCCTCCCCTCCCAAAGGAGCAGATGGCAGCGAGCTCACCCCTTCCAGGAGGGCTGGATGTGGTCTTCCATCTCTTCAGCAAAGGTCCCAGGGACAAGCGACCCCATGTGTGCAGGAACTCTGCAGCGCTGCCTGGGGCTGTGCTGCCAGCGCACCAGCACCGCAGGCAGCAGACACACTGTGCCTGAGAGCAGGCACTCAGCCCCACGGCCATGGCTGGGCCAGGCAGCTGCTGGTGGAGGCAACATGGCAGAAGTGACATTGTTTGTTACATGCAATCGAAAAAGTAAGTTTCAAAGCTCTGTTCTACACTGCCCCGGTTCCCTGGAGATCACTGCACCAGGGCCGTGCTGCCACCAGCTGCGCGTCCCCTCGCTCAGGCAGGAGGAAAGCCACCTTCGTGAGCACGCACACTCCCAGCACCGTTACCAGCTTCTCAAGATACACCCGTGGCACTGAGCAACTGCTCCAGAAGTTCTGTGCTACCTTTTGCTTTCCCGCAGAGGGTAAGGACGAGAGGGAAGGACAAAAGTCCTTCTACACATGTCACCACAGAATTACCAACAAGAACAGCAAAGGAGCACTTGCCTCCTTCCCAGACCCACAGGGTTT